GTAGCTCCCACTTGCCATACCTAGGAAAAGCCTACGTGCAGCAACAAAAACCCAGCACAGCCATTCATTAACTCATTAATTAAAATTTTAAAAGATTTACAAACACTTTATCCCAGTATTTTTATCCTAATAGGATCTTTCATAGAAAAAAAGTTTTTAAATTTGATGAAGTCCAGTTTACCAATTTTTTTTTGGTTGCTTTAGGGATCCTATCATACTTCTGGTGCCTCTGGATGTCCAGTTGCTCCAACACCATCTGCTGAAAGGCCATCCTTCTACCATAGAAACATTTTTGCACCCTTGTCAAAATCAGTTGGCTATCTGATAAAGGATTCGTGTCTAGAATATATAAAAAACTCATACAACTCAAAGAGAAAAATTACCCAACTAAAAAAACTGGCAAAGAATTTGAAAAGACATTTCTCCAAAGAAGGTGTACGAATGGTCAATAAACACATCGTTAGTCATTAGGGCAATCCAGTTCAAACATAAAGTATCTCTTCATACCATCTAGACTGTATATAATCAACAAGATATAATAACCTGAAGATATAGAGGGATTGGGGCCCTCATACACTGCTGATGGGAATGTGAAATGGTTTGGCCACTTTGGAAAACAGTTTAATAGTTCCTCAAGAACTTAAACAGAGTTACCGTATGACCCAGCAATTCTACTCCTAACTGAAAACTCCAAGAGAATTGGAGTTTTAACAGATGCTTGTACACTGATGTTTCGAGCAACATTATTCACAATAGCCAAAAGGTAGAAACAACCCAAGTTGCCATCAACAGATGACTGGATAAACAAAGGTGGTATATTCAACATAACAGAATACCATTTTGCCATTAAAATGAGGTGTTGATTCACGCTGCAATATGGATGAGCCATGAAGGTGTCATTCTAAGTGAAAGGAGACAAACACAACAGACCACATGTTGTATGATGCCATTTCGTGATTCCAGTCCATTTTGAAATGACCAGAATAAACAAATACATTAAGCCAGGAAATTAATTAGTGGTTACCAGGGGAAAAGGCAGAATGGATAGTGACTGCTTATTTGTTGTTGTTCAGTTGCTAAGCAATGTTCACCTCTTTGCAACCCCATGAACTGCATGCAGCACACCAGGCTTCTCTGTCCTTCACTATCTCCTGGAGTTTGCACAAACTCATGTCCATGAAGTTGGTGATGCTATCCAACCATCTCATTCTCTGTTGCCTCCTTCTCCTCATGCTCTCAATCCTTCCCAGCACCAGGGTCTTTTGCAGTGAGTTGGCTGTTCACATCAGGTGGCCAAAAGTATTGGAGTTTCAGCTTCAGTATCAGTCCTTCTGATGAATATTCAGGGTTGATTTCCTTGAGGACTGACTGGTTTGATCTCCTTGCAGTCCAAGGGAATCTCAAGTCTTCTCCAGCACCACAATTTGAAAGCATCAATTCTTTGGTGCTCAACTTTCTCTGCAGTCCAACTCTCATATTTGTACATGACTACTGGAAAAACCATAGCTTTGACTAGATGGACTTTTGTCAGCAAAGTGATGTCTCTGCTTTTTAATATGCTGTCTAGGTTTGTTACAGCTTTCCTTCCAAGGAGCAAGCATCTTTTAATTTCATAGCTACAGTCACCATGTGCAGTGACTTTGGAGCCCCAAAAAATAAAGCCTCTTACTGTTTACACTTTTTCCCTTCTATTTGCCATGAAGTGATGGGACCAGATGACATGATCTTATTTTTTGAAGGTTGAGCTTTAAGCCTGCTTTTTCACTCTCCTCTTTCACCCTCATCAAGAGGCTCTTTAGTTCCTCTTTGCTTTCTGCCTTTGGAGCGGCATCATTATCTGTATATCTGAGGTGGTTGATTTTTCTCCTGGTAATCTTGACTCCGGCTTATGAGTCATCCAACCCAGCATTTCACATGATGTTCTCTGCATATAAGTTAAATAAGCAAGGTGACAATACACAGCCTTGATGTATTCTTTTCCCAATTTTGAAACAATCTGCTGTTCCATGTCCAGTTCTAACTGTTGCTTCTTGACCTGCATACAGGTTTCTCAGGAGGCAGGTATGGTGGTCTGGTATTCCCATCTCTTTAAGAAATTTCCACAGTTTGTTGTGATCTGCACAGTCAAAGGCTTTAGAATACTCAATGAAGCAGGAGTAGATTTTTTTCTGGAATTCCCTTGCTTTCTCTGTGATCCAGCAAATGTTGGCAATTTGATCTGTGGTTCCTCTGCCTTTTCTAAAGCCAGCTTATAAATCTGGAATTTTTTAGTTCATGTACTGCTGAAGCCTAGCTTGAAGGATTTTGAGCATAACATTGCTAGCATGTATAGTGTGTTAGTCACTCAGTTGTGTCCGACTCTTTGTGACTCCATGAACTGTAGTCCCAGGTTCCTCCATCCATGGAGTTCTCCAGGCAAGAGTACTGGAGCAGGTAGCCATTTCCTTCTCCAGGGGATCTTCCCGACCCAGGTCTCCTGCAATGCAGGAAGATTCTTTACCATCTGAGCCACCAGCTAGCATGTAAAATGAGCACAGTTGTACAGTAATTTGAACATTCTTTGGCATTGCCCTTCTTTGGGATTGGAATGAAAACTGACCTTTTCCAGTCCTGTGGCCACTGCTGAGTTTTCCAAATCTGCTGACGTACAAATTAGATAGTGGTGATGGTTGCACAACTCTGTGAATATATTAAAAAAAAAAAAAAAAACTACTGAATTGCTTCCCTGGTGGCACAGACAGTAAAGAATCTGCCTGCAATGCAGGAGACCCAGGTTCAATCCCTGTGTCAGGAAGATCCCCTAAAGAGGAATTGGCAACCCACTCCAGTATCTTGCCTGGAGAAGCCCATGGACAGAGGAGCCTTATGGGCTACCGTCCATGGGGTTGCAAAGAGTCAGACACAACTGAACTGACTTAGCATGCACTGAATTGTATGCTTTACAGGGTGGATATTATGGTGTATGAATTATATCTCCATTTTAAAAGAAGGAGTGAGAAAAACAGTCTCATTGAAATACTGCAGAATAAAGCTCATTTGCAAAGTACAATCTATAAATTTGTAAAATTAGTTTGACCCTTGAGGGAACTGCTAAGTAGTCAGATCTAAGCTTTTCTCATCATGACTGCCCTTGGCTTTTGGTCACCTTTAGCACTTAACATGTCAGAGTTTATCTTGTTCTTTTTTTTCAAGTGACTATGGTTTTAGAATATTTTTAAAAGAACATAATAGCCATTAATAGTAACTCCATTTGAAAAGGCTACAAATCTAATTTTGGATTCTGGGAAAATAACCAAATAAAAATGAATGACTCATCCAACATCTTGCCCTTTGGTAGGATCAGCACTGAATCTCTACAGGGCAGAGCCAGCAGTCCTCACAGTGTTTGTTGTTTTTTTTCAGAAGGTTATGCCAGGAGGAAAGCTGGATGTTAAGGCCAGAGGACCTGTTCACATAGTGTAGGAGGTGGGAACATCATTCCCCCTTTACAGATGGGAAGCTGAAGCCCAAAAGATCATCCCAAGACCAAAACTCCTAGTTTCTCATCTTTACCCACAGCTTGTTCTTAACCTTCCTCCAGAAAGCAAAAATGGGCTTGAAAATAGTGTTCCCGTCACTAAATTTAAATATGAATAAAAACTGGTAGAATGCCTTCCTACCTCCTCAGGCCTGCCCCCAACCTGATGACATGATGACAGTCTCAGGTGGAGGGAAGGAGAGGCACATAATATCCTTACCCTGCAGATGAAGGAACAGAGCTTGAGAGGCATCATGATGGCAGAAGTCACACAGCTTGGGTGTCCAAACCAAGGCCAGCCATCTGTCCTGCTTTCCTCCCTGCTCTTGTGCTGTGTCAGCAGTAATCCAAGTCTGAGAAGACACTTATCCATTCTCCTCCTCCTGTGAAGATCTTATCTGCTACATACGCAAGGCCCTGAGAGTTCTGTGGAGAAGGGTGATGGAAGACCAACATTCATAGCACTACCCACAGGGCACAAAGAGCCACATGTCCTGTCACAAAACCTACGAATATTGGATTATATATTATAGGTTAAGAAATGGGTGCCAGGGAGGCTGGTCAGCAGTCTGGACAAGAAATGGTGATGGTTTAACCAGGATCCCTGGAGATGGACAGGGAAGCAAGCAGGGAGGAGTTCAAGCTTTGGGCAGATGAAAATGTTTACAGACCTGGATCCTCAGCCAGGCCTGGCCACTCACCAACTGCATTGCCTCTAGGCAACATGGTTACTGCTCTGAGTTTCCCCATCTGTAAATTGAGTAAGTGGGACGATATTTGGTGTCCCTTGGCACTGTTAAGTGCTCAAGAAGTAGTGGTTGGAACCCATCATCTGGTTTGAATAAGGCTTCTTTCCAAGCAGTTGAGGCTAGCCACCTATCAGAGCAGTCCTGGCCCCATCTGCACATTTTGCTAAGTTTAAATTCAGTGACTCTTGAATCACTTTTTATATGACAAAGACAGACACTGACAGGACAGTGTCAGAGTAAGGGACCCCAGGAACTACAAGAGGCATATTACTGAAGGCTGTGCTATGGTTTACAGATTCCACATTATGAAGAGCAGAAAAAGGAGAGCCCCAGCACCCTCAGGATCCGAGCAGTCCTTTCAGGGGCTCTACTGCTGGGTAGGCAGAGCATTTCCTACAGAAAGTCAGCTCCTTGGCACAGCACAAAAAATTAAGTTATGTTCAGTCTATCTGATACAAAGAAACCTAAGTCAGACTCTTCCGATGGACTGAAGGAACCTGCCCCTTGCTTCCTGTCTTCTCTCATCTGCCCTCAAATTTTGAGATATGTGCAGGAAGAGCAGGAGACTCTTCTTCAGAAGGCCTTGCCCATTTGATCCTGTTTCTTTCATTCAAAATACTTGTGGGATACTGGAAGTCCCTTCAAATGGCTGGGTTTCAGGGGCCTGCACTTTACATTGGCCTGGGGAGTGACTTTAGAAGATACTTTGCCTCATCTGCAAATCTGTCTTTCAGCTCTGTGCAGTGTGTCTAGAAGACTTCAAGCCTCGAGATGAGTTGGGGATCTGTCCATGTAAGCATGCCTTCCACAGAAAGTGAGTATTAGCATGGCACTATTTAAGAGGACCTGAGCTTGAGGCACATTGACCAGCTCACCCATGGGCTTGGGGCAGCACCGGACAAGCTTGATGACTCATGACTGGTTTATGATGGAGAAGGCTGAAAGCACCTTACTGAGTGGCGTTTGTATTTATGTGTGTGTGTGTGTGTGTGTGTAAGTGAGAGAGAGAGACAGACAGACAGACAAACACAGACATTAGGAGGGACCAGGGTAATGGCAATGTGACTACCAAGGCAGGACTTAAGGCAAGAGTCAGACAAGCCCATACCTCCTTGGAGACCCAGGCTATAAAAAGCTATTTTACTGGAACTTTTCAATAAGAATTTCCTTTCCTAAAAGTTTATTTTAATCAAAACCATAATTATTTTAAATCAAAATAAATGTCAGTGTAAGTAGTAGTGTAGGACCATCTCTTCCCCCTTCCTACAGACATGTTTAATATTCCTCCCTCTCTTACAATTTTATGTTTTGTATGTATACTAGAAAACTTTATTCCTCCTCCTTCCCACCATCCTCCTCAGTGTACTTCCTTCTTTAAGAAGTCATGGATGACTGAGGATATATGCTGACTGTAGCTTCTTGGAAAACTGGAGTCTCTGGTTCCTCCAGAGAATGAAATGCATTCTCCACCCAGTGGTAGAACTCTTCAAGACCTGGCTGTTCACTCTACTCCCCAGATCTGGGTTTCCAAAATGTTCAGCATGTGAGGTGTGTGGGCAGGTGGTGCCACAAACACGGGACTGACGTCTTGCCTCTTGTGGTGTCTCATTCTGTAGGTGCCTTATTAAATGGCTGGAAGTTCGCAAAGTATGTCCACTGTGCAACATGCCAGTTCTGCAGCTGGCCCAGTTGCACAGTAAGCAGGACCGTGGACCCCTACAGGGGCCCCTCCCTGGGGCAGAGAACATTGTATAGCTCACCACAAGGACCAAACTGTTGCAGGATCTGGGAGGAGCAGAGCTGGAAGGAACACAAGTGGTCTCTGCGTTGACTGCTCTACCTAGGGCGCCAGCTGCTGCTTCCTTTGTCTCCTGAAGAACTCTCGGGCCAGCCAGGCTGGGAACCCAGACTTCTGGGTCTTGTGACAACCAAAGTGCTCTGACACTACCCCGTGCCAAGAGGAACGGATGAGCCCGCGATCTGGTTCAAGAAACCTCATGAGGATCTCTTGCTAACTCCATTACATTCTGTCTCCCAGACACTCATCTCCACGCCAAGGTGAATCTTTATCAACCAGAAGGGAAGACAAACGCAAGTGTTCCAGAGGGGAACTGAAGGCAGGTCTTTAAAGCCCCTACCCTCCCCCCACACACACCCTGGGGACACGAGCTTCTCTGCAGACCCTGCACACCTTTGTAGCAGCAAACCCTCCCAGCAGCCTCTAAGCCAAGTGAAAACAGCGGTTACCTCAGCCCAAGCACAACCGGTTGCAATGCTGGAGGCAGTGCCAACAAGGCTATTCACATTATGTCCTTTGATAAGGCCATCTTGGCAACCCGGGGGCTTGGTTACAACAAAGCAGCAGTACCTGCCACCACTGATTCTTCCTCAAGTTCACAACATTTGCTTATCAAATCATCTGAGCTAAAAACAGTAGATGTGCTTGGAAAGGTCTGGTCAAAAGCCATTTCCTCGTATTTCCCCTCCTACTCACCAATGAGGCACAGCCAAGCCACCATCAGGAGCCCCAGCAGGGGATGGGTCTCTGAGCCCATGCTGTCCCTGTATGACCCAAGGGCCCCAGGGTGCTGCCCACATCCCCACATATACAATGTGGCTCCAGTGTAGCTGCTAGTCTTGGCCCACTGCCCCCATAGGAAGCTGCTGTGAGCCCTTCACATGGCTCTGAAAAGGCGCATCTCTCTGATAATGGCCAGTCCTTCTGGCCTTGCTGAGCTGAGGATGCTAACCCCTTGCCTCTCCTTGTCCTGCCCTCTGTTCTCTTCCCTCCCTTCCCTTCCCTATCTGTTTCTTCTTCAAGAGAAAATGCCTGTCGTTGACATTTTAACTATTTAAAGCATCCCAGATAAGATCCCTATGGAATTCTGAAGCCAGGGATGCACTTGCAATTATAAATAGTTTTCAGGAAGCTCCTGCAGGGCTATTCATCATTGTAGTGTGCCTCAGTATTCAGACTTAACGATAACTGTCGTTATAGGAGAAAAACGCATGCTGCTCTTTGGTTCTTTCTGTCTTACTTTTCTAGAAATGACTGAGTCTAGCAGGATTCATGACTACTTTATAAGTTCACTATGTGAAGCAGCACTGGGTCAGACATAAAGTTCTTTTCCACAGCCCTGCTCTCCACCTCCTTCCATCATAGAGGTGGACTCCTCAACAGTGTTGCCTCTGCTCCACCCCACCAGGTGTGAATAGGGGCAGTTTCTCATTGGAAATACAGCGTGTATGACATGGAGCGAGGGGGGAGGAAACTGTACTCTGTTCATGGAATGTCTCCAGGAATATTTTTGGAATCTAGCCTCTACTGTCTTAGAATGGGAGAGGGAACCTGTCCTTGGCTCAGATGGCTGGGATCAGATGAGGAGGAAAATTCCCATTACCCTAGGAAAGTGCTGGGCAGAATCCAGTTTGGAAAATTACAAATCCATTGGTCAGAATTGGCTGTACCCTATGTGACCTATTTGTGGTATGCCAACTGGACTGCTTCTTTAAACAGGGCAAGGGAAGTGTGGAATATTTTTATATGAAAGCCTTATTAGCCTGTCTGGCACCCATGAAAAGAACTATTTGTACACTCCTACTTTCACCATTTCTGCATTCACTGTTTGTAGCACAATAGAGTTGAATGCTGGAAAGCACTCAGTTTACAGTAAAATGTTTTCAGTGACCAATGTCAGAGGTAGGCTTGCTTCTGGAATTGCCTCACCAACAGCCAACACTCACCATTTTCATGTAACAGCCTTGGGACAAATGTCACATCTTCATTATGGAGTTCCAATAGGAAAAAGAATTTTTCCCTTCAGAGGAGGAATTCTTGTGTTCTGTGCTTGCATATTATTTTCATCTCACAGCTTTCATAGGATTTCAGGGTGTCAGTACCAAGGAAACAGACTCATGAAGTCCCTGTATCTGTAGTAATCTCAGCATTTGTGAATATGGAGGGCTTTTAAAAACTCAGCTCTCCCACTAAGGTGGGGCTTGACACTGAAGTGGTTGTGTTCACTCTGCTAGTAGTCATCTTCTCTTTCCTGGCTTAGTGTCCTACTGGAACATGGCCAGTGTCACCTGGTCAGTGTCACTCATGAGTTCTTATGCCTCTTAACACAAGTGTTTGCGCCCCACATCTAGGTCCTCCTCCAGGACTTAACTGGGCTGCACTGCTCTAACGGAGTGGCCAAGGTTTAACTTACATCTTCCTTTAATTGATTAAAATCAGTTTTGTGTGAGGGACAAGGTTAAATCCCCATTATTAAGGAAGTTAAAGATTCATTAATACTCTTTGATCAGGCTCACACCTCACAGTGAGACAGTGAGGCTGCCCTGTCCAGATCTATTTCCATGAGTTATTCACCTTTTATTAACCTGTGTGAGGACTCTGGTCCGCTTTTGGGCCGCTGGCAGGTGACATGGTTTTTTAACTTGGTCTTAACATGTCAAGCAGCCCAGAGTTGGGTGTGGCTTGTATACCATGGGCTAGAGGAGAACTTAGCCTCAACTTGACTCCACAGGTAGGTCAATCATTATCTAGTTGTTACTAGTGGTACAGCTGAGTTCAGCTGGCTGCAGGAACAGGAAGCAAAACCAGCCTGACCCGATTCCTGGCTGACTAGGTACAGAGATTTGGTCAGGCCAAGAAAGTAATGGTCAGATAGGAGCAAGTGGCCCATGGGGAGTTCAGGGCTGAGGGATACTGAGGACCTCCCACCATGGCTAAATGCCCTGTTCTTAACAAAGATCCTTTCTTTCCACATCCCTGTTCCAAAGCCTATCATCTTCATGGCCTGATTCCACTCTAAGTTACGTTAACAACTATAGTAACTGTTTGTGAGAGGTTTTCTGGGAATTATGAAATGCACACAGGGAGACATCCCCAGAACTCTGGACAAAAAGCTGCTCAGGTTTTTTCAGTCACCCCCTTGCCACTCACTAGCCATGTGCCTTTCTCCTAGCCTCTCAAAGCCCGTTTCCTTAGCTGCTCGCCCAGGAATGTGTACTAAGGGTGCCCCCACCAGCCCTTATGGGGATTGACTACCATGTCTGGAGCCCAGCAGGCAGGCCTGGGGGGGTCATAGGTGCTGGTGCTACTAGGTGACATCATCATGCTGGCCACATGGGACTCCCCTGTTGTTCTGATAGAAACCACCACAGCTGAGAGCCTCCTGAGATTTAGGGGCTCTCCGCTGAGCCCCAGTTCACCTGGCTCCCTCCCCTTTCCCCTCATCTGCCTCAGTCACTTCCATTTACCTTTGCCCACTGTGCTCCTCAATGTGGTTTCACTCAGTGCTGAATATTCCTTCTAAATTCTTTGAATAGGTAATCCCTTCACGTGGTTCACAAATCATAAAGTTAAGTTGTCCTTGCATTCCTGGACTCCAGTAAGCCAAGTTTCCCACCCCTTGAGTACACAGTATTAGTTGGTTCCCTGTGAACTTCCAGAGTTCGTTCATGCATATACAACCAAGTACACACACGCGTACATGTAGGTATGTGTGTGTGTATGTGTGTGTGTGTGTGTGTGTATATATACACACACACACAGCTGACTCTTTTAACAACACAGGTTAGGGGTGCTGAAACCCTGTACAGCCTGCATGTAACTTGACAGTCAGCTATCCACATCTGTGGTTCTGCGTCTGTGGATTCAACCAACCTTGGACCGTGTAGAATGTATTTATTGAAAAAAAATCCATGTGTAAGTAGACCTCAGTTCAAATCCATCTTGTTCAAGAATCAACTCTATGTGTGTAATTTTTTTCTTTTTCCACTTCTGTAATACCAGACAAGTACTACTCAAGGACAATTCCTAGTCATGTGGGAAGACCCATCCCAGAAGTCAGAATATCTGTAAAAGGTGAGCCCAGAATTGGGGGATATTTTTGGAATCACATTCCTTTTGAATAAGGCATATTTTCCACTGATTGCAGCATGATGAAATCTCCGTTTCCTATACAAATCGAACTACAGTCCCTCCCTGACCCTAACCACAGATGCCTAAATAACAGAGAGCACAAGCTTTTTTTTTTTTTCCCTCCTTTTTCTCCCTCCCCAATGTGGGATGTGGGATCTAGTTCCCGGACCAGGAATTGAACCCGGGCCCCCTGCACTGGGCGAGCGAGGTCTTAGCAACTGGACCACCGGGGAAGTCCCCAGCCTGTGGCAGGACACTCAGAGCAGCAGCACAGGCTGCAGGTGCACCCCAGCCCCCAACCCAGTTTCCAGTGAGGACCGACGGCCCAGCAGTGACATCTGGCTACAACTGTCACAGTTTCTTAGGCAAACCTATGTTTCTGAGGCAGGAGTTGGAGAAGCAGAAGGCTGAGCAATTCTTTTTGTGGGGCAGATGTCTCAAATGTTGCTAAGCAAATAGGTGGTCAGCTGCCTCATGGCTGAATGTCCATGTTCAAGTTTCGTGAACCTATTCCCTTTCCCTCCCCACTCTATGCACACACTAAAAAGCAAATGTTCCCACAGAATCTTCTCGCCCAATATTTTTTTCCAGTCAACGAGAAATTACCCCACCAACAGTTTTTCTAAAAAGTTCATTCTTCCCTCTGCAGGAGATCAGAGTTAAAGCGACTTCCTCCAGGCAGCCCTTGGGGGGAGGGGCAGGGACCTGTGCCTCTTATTCTTTACCCACCTCCCCAGTATCCTGCCACCCACAGCAGCAGCCCAGGGATTCCCTGGATTAAAAGTGTAACTTAAGCCTGTGACCAGAAATTTGGAAAGGAACTATGTGTGAAACCACCTTCTATCGATGAACCTCTTTCATTATTAGTATTTAGGAATCTGAGCAAAGGAGATGAATGTGTCTGAATTCTGATGAAATCTGCAGTTGATAACTGGAAAATGCTGGGTCACATTCCTTTAGTATATAAGATTAATGAAGGCTCCTGTGTGCCACAGAATGTGCTTCCATTTGATTGGAACATGAGGAGGAAAATAGAGGGGCTTATTCAGTAAATCTGTTATTGTTTCAGTTCAGCTTTAGAGCCTGAACTGTTGTTGCAAGATGCAGAGTTTTATTCCACTTTTAGACCAAGCATCAGCACATGTGGCTTATCAACCCAGAACTCAGTTCTGTGGCTATAGAGTCAGGGGCTCCCTGCTCCAGAGACACATACCTACCAGTGTCAAGGGCCTTGGCTATACTTCGATGAAGTATAGCCCTGCAGTTCCCTGAGCTAGTACAAGCCTGGAAAATCTGCATCTCGGGCCAGGTGCACACCATCCCTCCATCCATCCTTCCATCTAAGGCCTAGAACAGAAGAATAAGACGGGGCTAGTGTTTCTTTCCTGATGATAGCTGTCTTCCAAGAAAGTGTTCCTGAACTGTCCTCTCTTGGTCTCTTGACAGATCTTTGCCAGAAAGAGGGGATATTAGTCTTGTAGTTTTAAGCCCACTGGGGTTTATTCACTAGATATTGTATAACTCCTTCAAAAAAAAAGTTTATGAAACGCTGAGCCTCAGGTTTCATAGACATGTTTGTACACTATGAATTCTGCAGCAGAATATTTTTAAACATTTGCAGTTTTTTTATAAGCTATATATTTTTGTATATTTAATTGCTATTTTAAAATCTTAATGCATTTTGCTAATTACTCGTTTAAAAGATAAAACATGCATGTAATTGACTTAAATGTAAATAAAAAGCAGATTTTAAAAATACTTTGTGCTGAGCACATACATACCCTTGGTCACCCACATCCCATTTAAGCCCATGTGGCAAGAGCTGAAAAGTCAAGGTAAGTGCTTCTGAACAAATGGGAATTGATCACCAGCAACAGGTGACTGACAGAGGAGCCAGCCTGTCTCCTTGTGGTGTGGGGTGCCAGTCAGGGCTGAGCAGTAGAGCACCAGGCCACAGCAAAGGAGAAGGCAGAGAGAGGTCAAGGGCTCCCTGCCACCCCTGGCCTCAGCTCCGGAGATGTGGGGGGACACAGTCAAGCAGTCTCCCAAATGTGGACGCCAGTACCCAGGAGGGTTGCAGTGGTGGAACCAGCCCACACCTCACTCCTCTAGCTATATCCCAGGCCTGGAGATACCAACTATTCTGCTGGAGGAGAAACAAAATCTCAGTCCAAAGCCATCCTGTGGCAGCTACTGTTTCTACTCACCAACCCTCACTCACTAGGACCTCTGCACAGCTCAGCTTTGGCTCCACAGATTCAGGGAAACTGCTCCCCTCACGGCCTTCCATGACCTGCAACCAAATCTGTGCCAACTCTGAAACCTCCTCCTAGCGCGGGTGCCTGGAGGGTTCCTCTCCCCTCCAGTCTCCTGAGCAACAGGCCCCCTGCACTAGTCCCCTCTTCAATGTTCTTCGCAGCCCTGTCCTTCTCTGTCCATCTCTTGTTATTCTCACTCTACCTTGGGATTCACTAAATTCCCACCTACATGCACATCACTGTCAGGTCTATTGTCTCCAACCTAAATATCCAGCGGCCTATTTGGCATCAAAATTCAGGCAGCCCAAGATCAAGTCCCCCCAGCAAGCCTAAGTACCCTCACAGAACCTCCTTCCCCCACTTCCAATCTCCACATCTCTAAACCCACTAAAGCACCTCTCTCTACCTGACCATACACTGCTCCCATCTTAGGCTGGCCACCTTCCTTTCACACCTACACCATTATTACAGCCACTACCACCCCCACTGCCTCTAGTGGGGGAGTGTGGGGTGAGACCCTCAGGCTACCCAGGCTGGCAGACTGGAAGGGGTAACTGCTGATGAGACAGGGCAGTGGTTTAGATCAGGGAGGTGCCTGTGGTGAAGGTTAAGCTTCCACGCATCTTACAAACTGGAGTTAAGTGAAGTAGCAGTAACTAGGAGAGGATGCTGGCAGAGGTTCAGGGGAAAGGATGGAGACATTTCTGTGTAAAGATGACCTGGAGATACAGAAAAGGGGGCAGAGGAAAAAGGCAGTCACTGCCTTGAGACAAGCTTAGAGGCAAGGACTGGACCAGACATGCTACCCTGGAAATCAAAATGAGTGATGTCTGCTTAAGTAGATCCAGGGTTGAGCCTGAGAGCTGGCAATCTGTCTTCAGTGGAGAATAAACTGACAGAGACAAAGTGGCCTAGAAGGTAGAAGGAAAAGCAAGTGTGGTCTGCAATGATAGAACTAAAGAAGATGAGAACATGAAATGTCCATCAGATTTAGCAATGAGATTCACTGTAGTAAAAGGATGGGCTAATCAGAAGCACAAAGTGTAGCCACAGAAGCAGTTTCTCAAGAGCAGGAAGTGGTGAATCCATGGAGGTGGAAGGCAACTGCAAGGCATAAGAGGAAAGGGGGCTCTGCTGGATCCTAATTGTGTGACTTTGGGCAGGTTCCTTCTTCTGTTAAATGGTGGGGATGACAAGGGCTGCGTGACACGACCCACAAAAAGCACTGGCACAGCCTCACGAACACAGTAGTAAGTGCAAGGAGAAAAGGCAGGACCCCATGAGGCCTAAGAGGCCAACCTGGGTGTCCATAGGCAGCAACCAGGCTTACTCAGGCTCCCTTCCTCTGCCCAGTGGAAGCAGGAAAGAGGGTCTGGGGTACAAGGGGCTTGAAAAGCATGACTATGGTACCAGTGAGAGGGTGGTGGCACTGACTCTGGTGGTCGTGGGGTAAGTTGGGGCTACAAGCACATGGTTGGAGTGGGCCGAAGGCAGAAGGACAGGACTGGAGGTGACTCAGGCTGAGGCCCAGGAGGGGCAGCAGCAGCAGAGGAAGCTGATCACATGGCCCTGGGCTGCAACTCCCATCCCCCAGTGTCCCTCCAGCTCCACAGCCTGCATCAGCCAGCAGCACCACAACCGACACGTGCCCAGGACGTGTGCAAGGGTGGCCACCCTTGGGAAATGGCCCTGCACTGACCCCACGCAGGCTGTGCCCTCCGGGCAGGTGGGCGGGCCATGACTCTTGACAACAGCCAAGAGGGAGGGGACTGCGGGGTCAAACTCCCTCCTCCCTCGGTGGTCCAAGCCCACTCTCCTGTGCCCCTCTGTCCCTTGGAATATCACCTACCATATGTGGTCCCTCCCAGGCCAGTCTCCTGGCCTGAAGCCAAGGGGCACAGGGAGGCCAGAGAGCCTTGGGGTTTCCTTCTGTTTCAAAGGCTGCTTTACATAAAACCTTCATTGCCTTCACCAGGGAAGCAGGCACCAAGTAATACCAAAATGAGATACAAATGTTGTTCTCTCTCCAAGGAGGTTTTTAAATCATTTTGCACAGCAGAAACAAAAAATTCAAAGTCAACCTCCACCAAGACTCTTATCTAAAAATCCGCCTCTCCTCAAACAGCCTTTTGAGCCTCCCACATACAGCCCCTCCACTATATCCAACTGAGGCAAACTCCCAGGCACTTTCAGGCAAGCACAAGGGGAGGAGCAGAAGCCCCGCCCCGTTCTCCATGGCTAATTGATGGACAGCTCCATTCTCCCCTTTCTACTGGCCTGCAATAACCAGATTCCCCCCATTCCCTGAAAAGACGTCAATACTAGCAGCCCTTTCTGTTTTTTCTGTCTGGCCCTTCCAGATATGCTTTTTCTACTAGCTTACTCACTTCTGTCACATCCATAATCCATCCAATACCCAAGGAAATCCTGCCCAGGGGAGAAATCCTGTCATCCCAAACAGACCTTCCCCGGATCTAGTGGAACCTGGAACTGCCCTTCCAAAAGTAGCTTGTTAAAAGTTACAGGCACAGAATTAAGAACTCACCTACCCGATAAGTCTGCAGAACCTTGAAACATTTTTCAATGTTCACACAAGGCCATACACACAAAGTTAATGCAAAGATGACGCTCTCCAAGGCCACACTGACAAAAGTGTGATTAGACTGTAATACAGAGTTGCTTGCCTTATATTTACCAAATTCAACAGGACACAAAACCAAAGCCAGCTGAACAAAGAACAGCTCTCTCCTGAAGTGGCTCCACTGAGTGATGCTGAATTTCAAAAGTACACAGCACGTTGAACAAAGCTATACTGAAGAGCAACTTAAATACAGAGAATCCTCACCGACATGGTCCACTTTTTTTTTTTAATGCATATATATTTCCTTACTGGTTATTAGTTCAGACTGAATTTTTAAGAATTTATCTTGATGACTTATAAAAATACACTTGTCCTTTCTCGCTTTGATTCAGGTAGTACACAATCATAAAACTGAGTAAGTCTTAAAAAAAAGAGTCCATCCACAGATCCCATTGTGGAAGGTTCCAGGAACCCCTCCCCAGGTAACAGTCAGGGGATCTTCAATAGCTCAAGGAGTGCTCCAACAGCTCCAAAATAACCCTGAAAGCAAAAAGAAAGAAAAATAAGAGCAATTCTCCTTAGACTTACTTATATTACCATAAATATGATTACTAGTATTAAAGCCAACACGGCCCTTAATTCCTGCCACTCATTTCCTGATGCCCATTTTGCCAACCCCAAGGCCAGCAGAGCAGTTCTGAGGAGCTCCCAGGCAGGTGAGGGCACCCTGGCACATCAGACCAGAGCGCTCAGCGAGGGCTCCACAAGCTCTGAGGCCCACAGCAGCCATTACCTCTGGTTAAGAGACAGGACCTGGGCCGTCTCCTGGGGAATGAGGCAATGAGAAGCAATGGGGGCCTGGAGGATTTCAAGATAATTCCAGAATGAAGGGAAGATGAGACATGAAGTGCAATGGAGCAGGAGCCAGGACAAGTCACAGAGGGTGAGGGCCCTGCTGGGCTGGAGGTGGAGAGCAAAGAACAGGGTGGGATGGGTTCAAGACTTGGCCTGAAGAAGAGAAGGAGGGTGGCAGGGAGGTTGAGGTCCCTCCCCCACATCCCGTCACACCACCCCTGAGAACAAGGACACAGGAGCAAGAGATGTGGAGAGCGAGGAAGGGGGCTCCATACAGGATGTGCAAAGCTGAGGTACACACCCACCAGATGTCTAGATCTGGAGCGAGGCAGCAGCCAGCAGGATCACAGAACCCTCAGGCAACACGTAGAGAGGCATGAGGTCAGAGGAGCAACATGTGAAGAACAGAGGCACTGGGGGCGGGGGGGAGGCAGAGACGTGAGACAGAGAAGCAGCGGCTGAAGGAAGACCATGCTGGACCACCTCCTGAAGTAAGCAGTCGAGGTCAAAAACAACCAAGACATGAATAAATTTAAAAGAAAACGAGACAAAACCCATACTGGCAGAAAGAAACTGCCAGTAACAATCAGAATAATCGTACAATGATACAGAATCTACCAGTCTCCAAAGGATGTGATCACACAGTAAGGCAGTGTGAGAGAGAAGTGAATGCAAAAGGAGCATGGGAAGATCCTGAAAGACCTGCTGTGGAACAGAACATATGACAAGTCTCTGCAGTATTATAAATAACTAAGGTTCAGATTCCTCAAGCTTTTCCAAGAAAAGCTTCTCCAAAGAACACGCGGCCACACAAGAGAGGCCTGCCCTTTCACTCTACTTCTTGGCTTAAAAAAAAAAAAAAAGCAGCCACAAGAATATACAATAGAGAAAAGGCAGTCTCTTCAAAAAGTGGTGCTGGGAAAACTGCACAGCTATGTGTAGAAGTATGAAATCAGAACACTTCCTAACACCATACACAAAGATAAACTCGAAATGGATTAAAGACCTTAACCTAAGACCAGAAACTATAAAACTCTTAGAGGAAAACATAGGCAGAACACTCGATGACATAAATCAAAGCAAGATCTTCTATGACCCATCTCCTAGTGTAATGGAAATAAAAACGAAACTAAACAAAAATTAAATCTTCTATGACCCATCTCCTAGCGTAATGGAAATAAAAGCAAAACTAAACAAAAATTTAAAAATTAAACTTAGAAGCTTTTGCACAGCAAAGGAAACTACAAACAAGGTGAAAAGACAACCCTCAGAATGGGAGAAAATAATAGCAAAGGAAACAACTGACAAGGAATTAATTTCCAAAATGTGCAAGCAACTCATACAACTCAGTATCAGAAAAACAAACAACCTAATCAAAAAGTGGGGAAAAGACCTAAAAAGACATTTCTCTAAAGAAAACATACATAGCCATACCCATAAACAGATGGCTAAAAAACACATGAAAAGATGCTCATCACTCATTATTAGAGAAATGCAAATCAAAACTTCAATGAGATACCTATCACCTCATACCAGTCAGAATGGCCATCATCAAAAAGGCTACACACAATAAATGCTGGAGAGGGTGTGGAGAAAAGGGAACCCTCTTGCACTGTTGGTGGAAATATATATTGATACAAACACCATTAAGAACAGTATGGAGATTCCTTAAAAAAATAGGAATAAAATTTCCATATGAAATCCCCTTACGAGGCAAATACCCTAAGGAAACCAGAACTGAAAGAGACACATGTGCCCCAATGTTCACTGTAGCACTATTTACAATAGCTAGGACATGGACTCAACCTAGATGTTCACCAACAGATGAATGGATAAAGAAGCTGTGGTACATATATACAATGGAATATTACTCAGCCATACAAAGGAACACATCTGAGTCGGTTCTAATTAGGTGGATGAACCTAGAGCCTATTATACAGACTGAAGTCAGAACGAGAAAAAACAAATATTGCGTTTTAATGCATATATATAGAAACTAAGAAGGTGGTACTGATGAATCTATATGCAGGGCAGCAATAGAGACGCAGATGTAGAGAACAGACTTGAGGCCAGGGGGTTGGAGTAGGGGAGGAGAACAGGACAAATATAGTAGCGGTGAAACATATACACTACCACATGTAAAACTGCCAGTGGGAGTCTGCCGTATGACTCAGCTCAAACTGGTGCTCTGACAACCCAGAGGGATAGGAAGTGGGGGGGAGGTTCAAGAAGGAGGGGACATACGTACACCCATGCCTGATTCATGTTCGTGTATGGCAGAAACCAACACAATACTGTAAATCAATTATTCTTCAATTAAAAAGAAATTTCTTAAAAAAAGCAGCCACAAACGTGTTACGACAAAGTCAGAAACTGTAGGAGGACACAGCTGAGCAAGATTCAGCAACACTCAGAAACCCTCAATTCTGCCAGAGGACAGAATTCAAGGGTGTTCACTTTATTATTATTCTTAAATTTTTTGGCCATGCCCTGCAGCATGCACAGACTTAGTTCCCATTCAAGGAATTAAACCAGCACCTCCTGCAGAGGAAATGCAGTCGTAACAGTTAGTTACACACTTTTGTTTTACGTGATTTTCTATATCTCGGTTTTATTTTACAGAAAAGAAGGGATAAAATTAACCATTATACTGAGTTCCACTCCAGACCCAAGTTCCTATCTAGTAACAGACAGAGATTGTTACAAGCCAAGAAGTGTGAGATGAGAACAATGAAAAATGAAAAAGGCTTGAAAACAATCTATACAAAGCTTTCACAACAGTAATCTCAATGACTTCAGTGTGCAAGCAGGAGTATATTTCATGACTCAGAGAACCTAAAATAATCAGAGCTCCACAAGTACAGAGATCAACATTAGAGCCAGAGGCCTAAATGAAAATGGAAAATACAAGGACAAAGAGCAAACAGGCTAGCCAGAGAGGAAAACCAAACTTGATAAAGGGTTCATATCATAAAGTAAGTATGCAAACACAATGCTGAAAAGTGTTCATGCTAACACTATCTGCAATCCCCTTTAACACTTTAAGAGTCCAACTGCCCCAAAACCAAGGGGAGGAAAGACAAAGTCCCTTTCATATCTCTGGTTTTACTGTTCCTCAAATCAGAAAGACACTTTCCAAAATAGGATATCAGATTGAGCAATTCAATTATTCTTTTTCACACAGCCTATGTGTTAAGTTCTTACAACAGTGTGGCTCTAATTCTGGAATGCTTTTTACTGATGGGAGTTGGTTTCAGGACATACATCTTAAATAAAGTAACTGGCACAAGAACTATATTAACACGATAAAAACTGACATCAAAAAATTAAAGCTCACAATAAAATTAACCAAATATTTACCTTACATTAAACCAAGTAAGAAACAGCTTTTGAATACGAACAAAGTTAACCACATTATACAAGTACAGAAACAAATAATAAGTACTGCTTCAAATTCTAGCATAGCGTGAACAGCACACCCTTTATGAAGGTAACATGTCACAGGAAATAACTCTGCTTACCTCATGTTCCGAAAAAAGTGCTTTCAACTGTCCCTTGGACCAATAATCCAAAGCATATGCCAAAAGCCGCATGGCGATCGTATTAATTCTCAAGAAATTTCCAACAAATACCACCTGGTTAATGTTCTGAGCACATCAAAAAAAGGCAATTAGTTTTCATGTTAATTTCTGTTCTCTCCTAAAAGCTACCCCAAGGAGAGTATCATGTACATAGCTTCTGTCAGGAAGCTGACTGCTGGCCAAAAAAAAAGTGTTTACATTTACTCCATTTGATCCAGGGCTACTTAAATCTGAGCCCCAGACACTCTAAACCCACTCCAAAGCACGCCAGAAAGTGGCACAGCAGAATAAAGATTAGGAAAAGCATCTGAATTAACATGAAAAACCGTAACTACAATTAAATTCAAAGTTTTACACAGATAAGTTAAAAAAAAAAACTAAGACCAATTCAAAGAAGAAAAGTAACACACAGGCAAATTATAAGAGAAAATATCACACACACAAAAATTCAACCTCACTAAATGAGCAAAGTAAAATTTTAGAGCCATTAAAAGTTAGCAAAGACTCTAGATGTTGACAGTTTCCTTCCTTGGATGTCTGAGTGACCCAAGATCTTACATACTACAAACTGTGAAGGAAGAATCGAAACAAAGGCAGATGGAGCTGGAAAAAAAAGTCTGCAAGTCTATCACTACCAAGCTATAGGAGAGCACTGGAGGCTAGCCAGGAGGAATGCCTGGGGGCTGGCCTGGTGGCGGAGCACCTCCACCTGGGCTCACCACTGAAGTTTGATTACATCAACTTAGTATGGATTTAGCATTGTTTCACACAAAAACATTGAAGGACAAACAAATTCCAAGGCGGTTTTAAAGTTGAGCTCCTACAGTAAACAACTGGGCATTCTTGATACTGCTGAATATGCGCACAGGGAAAGGAAATAACACTGTACTTTATACGCACTGTAAATGGAAAACACAGTCTTAAATAAAACTGTATTTTAGATAGGCACTAAAAGAAAAAAAAGTCAGCAAAACAACTAACAGAAATTCTAACTAACCCCCAATATTAGTCAAGTTGTGGTAAAACTGATCCATTCATTCATTGCTAAGAATGATCTAAAATGGTGCGGCCCTTGTGCAAAACATCTTGGCAATATCCATCAAGATTCATAACCATGGTATTCTTTTTTAAAATATTTACTTTATCTCTTTACTTAGCAGCTCCAGGTCTCAGCTGCATCATGTGGGATCTAGTTCCCTGACTAAGCAGCAAACCTGAGCCTCCTGCATTGGGAGCGTGGAGTCTCAGCCACTGGACCACCAAGGAAGCCCCACAAGTATGATATTCTTTAGATAAGAAATCTCACTCCTGAATAAATCCCTTATCAAGAATAAATCCAGGGACTTCCCTGATGGTCCAGTGGTAAGACACCAAACTCCCAGTGCAGGGGGCCTGGGTTCAATCCCTGGTCGGGGAACTAGATCCCACATGCCGCAAGAACCCACTGCAGCCAAATAAACAAAAATAAACATTAAAAAAAATAAATAAATAAAACCATCCAAGGAAATAGTTTCACGCTTAAAAATGCTTTATCACAGAGCGATCACTGACAAGCAACCAAATGACCAGTTCTATGTGAATGACCTATGATATAAAAAGAAATCAAATATACAACCCTGCAATTTATAATACATAAGTAAAAAACAAAATTGTATGTACATCAACTAAAATATCTTAAAATACATAAGCACTAGAAAAGGAACGTGCAACAAAGAAAACAGAAGTGTTAAAACATTCAAATAAAGAATTTTAAATTTCTTCATGAAAATACAGTATCTTTTAACTAAAAAGAGACAATCCTTTTGTAACCTGAGATTTAAGTCACATGCCTGAATTATCTATTTAAAAGCCTTATTTTAAACCAAAGTGTATAAATAGGGACAAGTTATACCAACTGGATCCCCAAGGGAAGGCCATTCTTAGTTCTTTCATAGCCCTGTACAATGCTGCTTGACCTGAATGCTACAAGGCAGCACTGTAAAGAAGCTGAAAGCACAAAGACAGCTCTGCTGCAGCCAGCTGGAGGGGAGCAGGGTGGGCATTCCTCGGCCCACTCCATTTTCTCCCAGCTTCAGTGCCTTCCTCTGGATTCATTCCCAGGGACTCCTGAGCTCAACAGTGAGCATGGTATCTATATTCAGCATCACCACCCTTCACCACCACCCAACAGTCCCCATTATCTGCAAAACTGGCTACCTTCCCTACCTTCTTCCTCTGCTTTCTGCTCTACTTCTAGATTGTAGCAGTGTTTATCTTGATTAATAAAATAAAAATCTGTTAAGATTAATCTACATGTGAAGCATTTTAACTATGCCAATGAAACAAAATCCACCACTTACAACTACATTTAGGCACTGTTCGGAGAAGACAGACGCTGTATACAAGGTGGGGCCCACATAGTAAGTTCTGTATTTTCCTCAGAGCAACTAAAGAAATCCATGTCCCCTTACTTCATTAAGGGCACACATTCTTGCTATTGAGCCAATGTTGTTGGTGATGGTGATCAAAGTCGCTCTGGCAAGGTCCTCTTTACTCACAGCCTCTCGCTTCTCCTTGCTCATCATGTTTCCAAAGCTGTGATGGAAAAAAAATACATGGTTGCTAAACCAAAGGTAAAACAACATAACAGAACTTAAGGGTACTTTACTAAGATAAAAGTAACTTTTAGGGCAACACTGTTCAAATCTTCTAACTTTTATTACAAAATAACAGAACATCTGCTCAAAAAGAAATGCAACTTCAAGAACTCAAGCATTCTGAATGAGCAAATGGCATTCCCTGAGGGTACTACGAAATCTAGCTTTGACACCAGGTGTGGGCCTCCCTGCAGGTTCAGCCTGCAATGGGGAGACCCAAGTTCGATCCCTGGGTTGGGAACATCACCTGGAGGAGGGCATGGCAACCCACTCCAGTATTCTTGCCTGGAGAATCCCCATGGACAGAGGAGCCTGGCAGGCTACAGTCCACGGGGCCGCAAAGAGTCGGACACAACTGAGCGACTAAGCACATTCAGATCCACTGAAAGTACCACGCTCCTTCTGAAACCAGGCTAAGTTCCAGGAACATGCCTCAATTAGTGATCTTCTCCCAACTGTAGAGTTGTTCCGCTCAGCTAAAGGGTCACATTCACATCTGGTAAACAGCTTTATCTGAGCAAAGCATAGTACAGACAGCCGAGTCCCTGAGTAAACTACTTTAACAGTTTCCGATTTCCCTAGAAGATCAAGTACTTCAAGGTACCTGATGAGCAGAGAGAGAAGTCGCTCAGTCATATCTGACTCTTTGTGACCCCATGGACTGTAGCCTGCCAGGCTCCTCTGTCCATGGGATATTCCAGGCAAGAGCACTGGAGTGGGTTGCCATTTCCTTCTCTAGGGGATCTTCCTGACCCAGGGATCGAATCCAGGTCTCTCAAGCTGCAGGCAGACACTTTACCGTCTGAGCCACCAGGGAAGCCTGGTGAGCAAAACTGATACATAGATAACTATGACTTGATCACAAACCCAACCAATCAGAAAAGGGATCTTATCATTGAGCAAATGTTGCAAACACAGAAAATGAAATCTACACAATTTACGAAGTACCTAAAATTAGTAAACAAGCAAGTATACAGTGCCTTTTCTATTATTAAAAGCCTTGCACCCAGACTTCCCTGGTGGTACAGTGGATAAGAATCCCCCTGACAATGCAGAGGTCATGGGCTCCATCCCTGGTCCAGGATGATCCCATAAGCCGAATCTTATTAAATATTAAAAATGTTTATTAAAATATTAAACTTATTAAACATAAAAAAATGAACATCATTATTCATCAGTTAAATACAAATCAAAATGAGATATCCTTTTACACCTGTTAAGGCAGTTAAAACCCAAAATATACATGTTGTATATCAATACAATGGAATATTATTCAGCAATAAAAGGAACAAAGTACTGATTTATGATACAACAAGGATGAATGTTGAAAACATTATGCTAAGTGAAAAAGCCAGTCACAAAAATCACTTGTTATATGATGCCATATGGAGACAAAAAACAGCCTAGTGTTTACCAGGAAGAGAGGGGAGGGAGGGAATGGGGAGAGAGAGCTGATGGAAGCAAGGTTTCTTTCTGGGACGATGAAAATATTCCAAAATTACACTACAAAGATGACTGCAAAATTCTATAAATATACTAGAAACTACTAAATTGTACACTTTAAACAGGTGACTTCATAGTATGCAAAGCTATTTAAAGAGTAAAAAACACACCCAATACTTAATACTTTATTCCCGTGTCATTTTAAAATTTTTACTGGGGTGTATATAATTGATTTACAGCACTGTTAGTTTCACGTGCAAAGGCACTCTGTTACACACACACACATCTACTTTTTTTAGATTCTTTTCCCATATAGGACATTACAGAGTGTTAAGCAGAGTTCCCTGTGCTATACAGCAAGTCCTTACTAGTTGTCTATTTTATGTATAGTAGTGTGTATGAGTCAATCCCAATCTTTCAATTTATTCCTACCTCCTCCTCTTACCACCCACCCCCCACCATAACACTAAGTTTATTTTCTACATCTGCAACTGTTCTGGTTTTGTACTTAAGTTCATTTGTAGCTTTTTTTACGGTTCTGCATGTAAGAAATACCATGTATTTGTTCTTCTCTGACTTACTTGACTCAGCATGAGAATCTCTAGGTCCATCCATGTTACCACAAATAATTTTGTTCTTTTTTATGGCTGATAACGTTCCATTTTGTACACCCTGTATTTCTTAGAGCACACATGCCCTCTTCCCTTACCTTGAAGCCACAGCCCAGCCTGGCAGTCCAAACCTCTCATAGTCCCCTCCATAAATGTCTCGCACTAGTTTATCCACTTTGGTGCTATCTCCACGTGATGCCATTTCCAGAGCTTCTTCAAATGTGGTACAACCAGTAAGAAGACAGCAAAGACCAAAAAAAGTTCCTCCTCCAAGACTGTGATTAAAAACAAACATAGTATTGAAACACTTTTCAAAATAAGAAGAGGAAAGTAAAATTTATGATCTGAAAACCATATTCATGTAACAATCCAATCTTGCCCCATCTCCATCATGCAGATGCCACTAGTAGAAAACAAGTCTGTGAAAAGACAAAAACAAAGTGTCTAATAGACACTTTGAGGATAACATATTCACACAAGCCAACAAAGTGGCAAAACACAGGGCCCACCTCCTTACGTTCCCAATGCGGGCTGGGCACCTGCTGGATACCAGGAGTCTCAGGTACAGATCAGCCCACCAGGGCCATGATGGCACCTCTTTCTTTTCTCTCTCCAAGTGCAAGCCCCACATCATCCTCATCCAAGACTCTTGTCATCTGGGATCTTTAGCCCCTCTACCCTACTAAAACTCCTCCATGAATATGTTTTCTTTCCCAAAATTATTCCTTTAACTCACACATGTTCAAAACTTGTTTATCCCAATCTCCAGCTCCTGCTTTTCAAGTGATCACTGATCCTTAAACCAAAAGGTATTTATGTTCACCTGCCACCTAATCCTCCCTTTTAACTACTCTCCCCCAATTATCTTTCTACTGTTCGGTACCTCAACTTCTAGATCTCACAACATCCCCCAGCTACATATATGTACGTATACATGTAAAATCTAGGCCAGTTTCAAAGGTTAGATCTTGCCTTGCCCTCTCCTTATAAATGTCACCTAGTGGCTTTGGTTACTTTATGGTATATACACAGCATACACTATCTAAGGGCAGGGACCATGGGCTCAATGAGGCTGACGAGATATTTTGTAAAACTATGGCAATGAAACTTCAGGATTATAGATTAAAGAGAAGTAGATCATGAAATCATAACTTTCAAAGAGTAACAATATTTGCCTGCATAATCCCACAGAAATATACCTTTCACATAATTTTAACAAGTTCTTGAAGATGTACTGATACACAATACCGGAAAACTCAGTTTTAACCCATTATGATATCAAAAATAAACAATGACCTTTATACAAAAGACCTACCTGGTACCTGTGACCCTCTTATAATTATCTTTGGAATATACTGCTAAGATGCTAACCCCAGAGCCAATGTTCACCAGCAGCAGAGGGTATGGATTTTTCAAATCAAATGGTAACTTCTGACATTTTTCAGAATCAGCAGGGTTTTCAAAGTAATAGCACTGTGAGCGTCCATTGAATCCAACTGAGTCAATATACAAAATTCCTTTTATTAAGCAATCTAGTTCATCGAGTTTGCAAAGCTGAAGATCACCTATCTGTAATGAAATAAAAATACATTCAGATTTTTTTAACAAGCCAAACAGCAATAAAAATTCCATTTAATAAGGCATCCCCTCTACATAAGACAAACCATAAAAGTGCTCATTGATGTGTATTATTTGTGCATGCTTTACAGAACACATCAAAACAAACTGTGGAAAATTCTTAAAAGAGATAGGAAATACCAGACAACCTGACCTGCCTCTTGAGAAATCTGTACGCAGGTCAAGAAGCAACAGTTAGAACTGGACAAGAATAGACTGGCTCCAAATCGGAAAGGAGTACGTCAAGGCTATATATTGTCACCCTGCTTATTTAACTTATATGCAGAGTATATCATGAGAAACGCTGAGCCGGATGAGGCACAAAATGGAATCAAGATTGCTGGGAGAGATATCAATAACCTCAGTTATGCAGATGACACCACCCTTATGGCAGAAAGCGAAGAAGTAAAGAGCCTCTTGATGAAAGTGAAAGAGAAGAGTGAAAAAGTTGCCTTAAAGCTCAACATTCAGAAAACTTAAGATCATGGCATCCGGTCCCATCACTTCATGACAAATAGATGGGGACACAATGAAAACAGTGACAGACTTTATTTTGGGGGGCTCCAAAATCACTGCAGATGGTGACTGCAGCCATGGAATTAAAAGATACTTGCTCCTTGGAAGAAAAGTCATGACCAACCTAGACAGCTTATTAAAAAGCAGAGACATTACTTTGCCAACAAAGGTCCATCTAGTCAAGGCTATGGTTTTTCCAGTAGTCATGTATGGATGTGAGAGTTGGACTAAATAAAGAAAGCTGAGCACCAAAGAATTGATGCTTTTGAACTGTGGTGTTGGAAAAGACTATTCAGAGTCCCCTGGACTGCAAGGAGACCCAACCAGTCCATCCTAGAGGAAATCAGTCCTGAATATTCATTGGAAGGACTGATGCTGAAGCTGAAACTCCAATACTTCGGCCACCTGATGCAAAGAACGGACTCATTTGAAAAAACCCAGATGCTGGGAAAGATTGAAGGCGGGAGGAGAAGGGGACGACAGAGGATGGGATGGTTGGATGGTATCACTAACTCAATGGACACGAGTTTGAGTAAACTCCAGGAGTTGGTGGTAGACAGGGAGGCCTGCAATGCTACAGTCCATGGAGTTGCAAAGAGTCAGACAGGACTGAGCAACTGAACTGAACTGAACTACAGAAAAGATCTGCTTTTGCTGTCTGGAGACAACAAATATAGGGAAGGACTGACAAGACATGATTCCTACTCCCACAGATCCAATACACTCTACCTATAAACCACCATAGGAGCTGAAGAAATGTGCCAAAAACCCAAGCAGAAAACAAGATACCTGCTATGGGGGCCACAGGGCAGGAGCACAGCTGAGGGCACAGCCGCCTCAGAAAGCAGATTCTAAGAAACCTAAGATGCAAGGACCTAGAAACATATGGTGCGAGCAACAAGGACTCTAACATCTACCTTCCAAAGACTACCTTCAAGGCTACAGAGCAGCATTAAAGTAGGCCACAATTTATATTAACAACCAGCTAAAGAACTGAAAGTGGCCAGGGGACTTCCCTGGTATCCAGTAGTTAAGATTCCACCTTCCAATGCAGGGGGCCCAGGTCCAATCCCTGGTCATGGCATTAAGATCTCACATGCCACACAGTGTGGCCAAAAAACAAAGGTCTGAAAGTGTCCAATAAGAAAGTAAAATATTTCACTATTTAAACTGGTGATAGCCTGTGGGGGGTGGAGGGAGTTTAGCACAATCAAAATTTAAAAGTTAAAAGGGTCATTTTCTAGTTATAAGATCACACAGTTGAGAATTCACCACTCAAATTAAGCCTTCTTAATAAAAATTCCAGATACTGGAGTCCCTGTTAAAGAGGCAAATAACATTAATGTTGTCTGCTTTATGATCTAAGTGACTATATATAAATAATTACTGGATGTTGTCCATAAAAGGGACAAAAGAAGCAATGAAACAACCACTATAAAGTTAGGAACAATGTTATTTGTATTGCGGGTGTATAAATAAAATAAGTCTTTCTTGGGCCATAAATACATAAATAAGTGTTATCAATTTAACTTCATTTAAATAATTCAGAAAGAATGATTAAATTATTATCCATGTTATGGAACACTGCATAGTAAAAGAATGAAGAGGATCCTTACACACATGTGTTTATTTTTCCCTTGGGCATGCTATGCAGTGTGTGGGATCTCAGCCCCCCAACCAGGGACAGAACTCATGCTTCACGCAGTCGAAATGCGGAGTCTTAACAGCTGGACACCACCAGGGAAATCCCAAGAATGAAGAGGATCTTTACTCAATTACGATGAAGTGGGAAGAACTCCAAGCAAGTCAAAAAAATAAGCTTAGAAATATTTTATAAAATATGATTCTATCTGCCTATCTTTAAAACCATGTTTAGATGCCCATGTATATGTCATACACAGTCATACACAGAAAAACAAAAAAGATACACAAACCTTTAACCTTTAACAGTGGTAACTTTGGAGAGGTGATATAAACTTTCACTTTTTACCTATGAACTTCTACCCCAACCTTCAAACGAATGCTACCAGCATATCTATTCAATATATGCAACAAAGATGCCTCAACTCCATAAAATGACTATTTCTGTTTACAACCAAGTTTAGCCCCGTAAGTCCTCCCCCTTTAATTCAACTCTTGTTTGATTACATTTATATTCAATTTATTCTGATCCAGAGGAGATGGAAGTTAACAGATAACTTCATCTTAATCCTTAATTAATCCCTAATTAAGAATATTAGGTTACTCCTCTGATAAAACCCAAACCCTTGAAAATGTTCACTGCCACCCTTATTTCATCTGCTCATGCCCTCCCTGTCACAATGAATTCTGACTTCCTGACACTTGAATCTCAAGTGTCATTTTCATTTCAAAGCTAAATTGTTTTACTCTAGTGGCCTAACTGAAATCAAAGTAGTTTTCTGTCACTTCATGCCCACCAAGACCTCCTTTTTATCTTTCCTGTCCTGCTGTGCCATTATTCCTAAAGAATCTCAGCCTAACTGACATAGTTATGTCTAATACATAGGTTATTTCATCACATTACTCATAATGCAGATGTTGTACCAACAAGAAAACTCAATACAAGGAAATCTGATTCATATTTAAAAAGAGACAGGATAAACTCAATATTATTAGAAATATTTCACTGTGGTTTATTAAATAATCATCATTCCCAATGCACAAGCAGGATTGGTAAGGCATTTCATTTTCATACAGTTTTCAAGAATAGCACTGATGCATACAGATTAGAAACCCCAATAGCCTAGGAGGCAACTCCTAAGGTCTAAAATCTACCCTGCCTCTCTCCTTGGATTACCATACAACCTCTGGTGGTGGTTTAGTTGCTAAGTTGCGTCCGACTCTAGTGACTCCACGGACTGTAGCCTGCCAGGCTCCTCTGTCCATGAGATTCTCCAGGCAAGAATACTGGAGTGGGTTACCATTTCCTTCCCCAGGGGATCTTCCCGACCCAGGGATTGAACCTGGGTCTCCTGCATTGTAGCCAGATTCTTCACCAACTGAGCTATGAGGGAAGCCCTTATTCTCTGGTAACAGTCTGAATGGTTTTTGAATATGTTCCAAAGGCACCTTTACAGGTTAGAGAAATATGTAGGTTTTCTCCTTTCAGTCAGTTCAGTCGCTCAGTCGTGTCTGACTCTTTGCAACCCCATGGACTGCAGCACGACAGGCTTCCCTGGCCATCAACTCCTGGAGCGTGCTCAAAGTCATGTCCATCGAGGTGGTGATGCCTATCAGTTTCACCCTTACCTATCAGTTACAATCCAGAGTCCACTACGACGACCTCAAAGGGAGGGGACCTCCTCTCCTCCTGCTATCTCCCCATTAACTCACAGGTAGAAAAGAAACCACGAAAAATTCAAGCGAAACCTCATTTTAAAATTCATGTCAATCCTATATTATGGTTATACTCAGTTATGGGAGAAAGAAGATTGAGGACAAAGAAAGAAGACAAAGTCACAAACACACAATGACACTCAAGTGGGGAGATAGATGAAAAAGAACATAAGCAAAGACAGAATCTCTGCAATAACATTTTCATTGGTGGCATAAAAACCATGGTCATTGAAGATATTTTAAATCTACACTGCACCCTGAAGATCAGAGTCCTGGCAAATTCATTTATCAATTCTCCCATCTATTCCCACACCCACCCTCAAAAGACCTAGCCTCAAGGCCTTACACACATTTACTGAATGAAAACAAAATCAAGTGCCCACTGGCACTCCCCCTAGTGTCCACACTCCTGGTAACAAGCATGCAGCTCAGGATACATCAAAGGGCATTTGGGGAATACAGAATGGTGTTTCCCCAGCGGCTCAGTCGGTAAAGAATTCGCCTGAAATGCAGAAGACCTGGGTTCGATCCCTGGGTTGCGAAGATCCCCTGAAGGAGGGCATGGCAATCCACTCCAATATCCTTGCCAGGAGAATCCGAAAGGACAGAGGAGCCTGGCAGGCTGCAGTCCATGGGGTTGTAAAGAGTCAGACACAACTGAGCGACTAAGCACATACAGCACCGTCAACCATCTCTGACTAGCCCGGAGGCCTGAAAAAAACACTGCTTCGGACCTGAGTTCCTCGTATTTCTAAATAGTAAAACTGCCAAGAAACAATTAAGGAGGTTAAGAAAACTTTTGTGGTAGATAAGACTGGAAACAACTTTATAACATGAAATGACATTAATTTTTAAAAATTATTTTTCAATTTAGTTGTTCAAAACAATGATATTAGCTCCTCACTGGTAGTTCCTTACTCTGCTTATTACAATTTTATTGTTTCTTCATACTAAAATAACAACAAAATGCTACGCTTTCAGTGGTTCTGATTCTCAACTCATCTGAATTGGGCAAAAAATAAACTATACAACAATCTCTAAATGGCAACTCCTATCACTATTTAATCTTAATTTGACTCAAGAAAATTCAAATTCCATTAGAGATGGAAACAATTCCATCACTTGCTATTGGTATTATTTTTAACAATCAAATTACCATAAATTGTATATAAGCTAAAAAATGCATACTGTGAGAAAATCCTGCTCAAATTTGTATGCTCCACCTCCAGTGGCACAAAAGACAGTGTGGAGACTCGAGAAGTTTTTATCTCTGCCCATTTGAATAAAAGCAGGCATGTCATGAGTGGGAAAGCGTATAAAGTGCAGATTGCCTTTGCGTCCACACAGAGTCAGGTCCTTCAGCTCCAGGTGCACGTCCCGAATACCCGTGGACCCATAAGCCACATTGGAGGTCAGGTACTTCCGAATGCTTTTAAGACTTTCCACTTCTTCCTCTTCTTCTTCAGCAGTGATGTCTTTGGGTTCAAAATAAACCAGCTTGACCAGGGTTCCACCAATATCCAAGCCAAACCAAGGGAAAACTAAATGGGGAAAGGAAAAAAAAAGTCAAAATAGCTTTTTTCCCCCTGAAAACTAAATTCACACTTATTAGATTAACCATTTCATACCCTGAGGTTCCCAAGAACCATACAAAATATAAACAAAAAGATCTGGGGGAGAAGAAATATGACTGTCTGATCTGGAAGCAAATCTATTTTAAAAAACTACCAAGATCAAAAAGAAAAATATCACAGTGATAGCCAACCCAACTTAGGGGCAGAAGAAATTCCGAGCCCTGTGTAACATATAAGCTCTAGCGGTCAATGTCAATCAATCAGGGTTAAATGGCCATCAGTAGAACAGGCATTTCAAAGTTAATACCAAATTTGTTGTTTAGTTGCTAAGTTGTGTCCAACTCTTTTGCGAGCCCATGGACTGCAGCCTGCGCCAGACTTCTCATCTATGGGATTTCCCAGGCAAGAATACTGGAGAGGGTTGCTGTTTCCTTCTCCAGGGGATCTTCCTGATCTAGGAATCAGTCCCGCATCTCTGACGTTGGTAAGGTGGATTCTCTACCAGTGACTCAAATATCCATCTCCAAAAATCTACTCCAAGACTCCCCTGAAGGTTCAGTGGTTAAGACTCCCGTGATTCCAATGCAGGGGGTGCGGGCTCAAGCCCCGATCAGGGAACTAGGATCCCACATGCCATGCGGCACAGCATCCCCCAAAAAATCCATCCCCAAAAAAATGGCTTAAGGAAACTGGATCAAGATAAAACTGCATTAGCTATACATGTCTTCTCCTCCCATCTTAAATCCTAGAAATGACTAAAGACAGATGTATTGATTTTCTAAAATAATTCTGAGAAACAAGAAGTGACACTATCACCAGAACTAAGTTGATAGAGGCAGTAACTGTCCATAACTCTCAAGAGAAAAATGCTGTTAGAATGGGGAGCAGCTATGAAGGTGGGGGAAGCAGAGAGGTGCTCCATTCAAGGTGTCGATAAGGTCGCTGCCATGGGGAAACAGAAGCAGGCTCCAGTGCAGTTATTTAAGTCATATGGTGGGAAAATGCATTTGGCACAACTGGACAGGCCAGTCACTCCCCTCCTCGGTCTCCAAGGAGGCAAATTCTTCACTGAGCACATGCACTTGAGCTCAACAATCAGTATGGCATCCACGCAGCTACTAGTACCCAGAAGTGGGAAGCCCCTACATCTGGCCATATTTCCCATCTCTCCCTACAATCCATCCTGACAGATGAGTAAACGGACAGTGCACCCACGGACAGGAGAATAGCATTGCTTAAACCAGAGACTATCACTTTACAAACCAGAATTACCAAAAGGGAAATCAACACCACAAAAACAAGATGCTAACATCTTAAGAAACAGCTGCAGGAACAAAGAGGAGGCTTTAAAAGAATCATAAATATCGGCCAAGGTAAAAGGAGATTTCATCCATGAAAAATAAGCTATTATAAATCAATTATACTTTAATAAAAAATAATAAATTAATTTTAAAAATGAATAAGCTGCCATAAAGAAAAATTAGAAATTAAGATATGATTGCCAAGTATGGTTTTGGCTGCAAGAATCTACACATGTGATAAAAGTATACAGAACTAAATATACATTCACCAAAGAGCTAAGGTAAAATTGGTTCAATCTAAATAAGGTCTGTGGTATCAATTTTAATTTCCCAGTTGGGGGTGGGGGGTTGTTTTGTCGCTCAGTCACATCCAACTCCTCGAGACCACGTGGACTGCAGCATGCCAGGCTTTCCTGTCCTTCACCATCTCCCAAGGCTTGCTCAAACACATGAACATTGAGTCTGTGATGCCATCCAATCATCTCATCCTCTGTTGTCCCTTTCTCCTCCTGCCTTCAATCTTTTCCAGCATCAGGGTCTTTTCTAATGAAATCAACTCTTCCCATCAGGTGGCCAAAGTACAGAGATTTGGCATCAGTCCTTTCACTGAGTAGTCAAGGTTTGATTTCTTTTAGGATTTATTGGTTTGACCTCCATGCAGTCCAAGGGACTCTCAAGAGTCTTCTCCAACAGCACAGTTCAAAAGCATCAATTCTTTGGTGCTCAGACTTCATTATGGTCCAACTCTGACGTCCATACATGACCACTGGAAAAACCATAGCTTTAACTAGATGTACCTCTGTCAGCAATGTCTCTGCTTTTTAATATGCTTTCTAAGTTTGTCGTAGCTTTTCTTCCAAGGAGCAAACATCTTTTAATTTCATGGTTACAGTCACCACCTGCAGTGACTTTGGAACCCGAGAAAATAAAGTCTGTCATTATTTCCCTTGTTTCCCCATCTATCTGCCATGAAGTGAAGGAACCAGACGCCATGATCTTAGTTTTCTGAATGTTGAGTTTTGAGCCAAGTTTTTCACTCTTCTCTTTCACTTTCATCAAGAAGCTCTTTAGTTCCTCTCTGCTTTTTGCTGTAAGGGTGGTGTCATCTGCATATCTGAGGTTACTGATATTTCTCCCAGCAATGTTGATTCCCGTTTATGCTTCATCCAACCCAGCATTTCGCATGATATACGAAGCTTTCAAAACCAAAAAAGGATTCTGGGGGGTGGTAACAATACACTTAAGGTAATAATAATGATAGATAAGAAAGTCGCTCAGTCGTGTCCAACTTTTTGCAACTCTGTGGACTTGTATAGTCCATAGAATTCTCCAGGCCACAATATTGGAGTGGGTAGCCTTTCTCTCCTCCAGAGGGTCTTCCCAACCCAAGGATCAAACTCAGGTCCCCCACATTGCAGGCAGATTCTTTACCAACTGAGTTACAAGTAACTCTCAAAAACAGGGTAAGTGGGGATATCCCTGGTGGTCCAGTGGCTAAGACTCCAGGCTCCCAATGCAGGGGCCCCGGGTTTGATCCCTGGTCCTGTGTGGGAACTAGATCCCACATGCCACAACTAAGAGTTTGCAAGTGGCAACTAGTATCCCGGCATGCCACAAATACGACCCAACAGAGCCAAATAAATAAATACTTATTTTTTTTTTTTTAAAGCCTGAGTGAAAGAAACTCCACAAATGTATGAGTCCATTTATATGAAACTCTAGAAAATGCAAACTAACCATTTCTGCATCTGACAGAAAGCCAATCACTGGCTTAGGGAGGGAGAGAGGGAAGGACTGTACAGGGGTAAGAGAAAACGCTCTGTGATAACCCAAAACTTAATTGTTGGGGGCAAGAGGGGAGATTCATGGCTGTATATATCTATCAAAATGCATGGAACTGTACACTTAGAGTGGATATAGTTTATTATATGTAAATTATATTCAATAAAGACACTTTAATAACAGAAAAATGAAACTATTTTCAAAATAAAGTTCAACAGATACATTTAATAACAAAAAAGATGCAGGAAAAAAACAAATGGGAAACAAAATTAAGAAATTCTCCCAAAATGCCTCGAGTGTGAAAGAAAGGTAAATATATAAAACACAGAACCAGAAAGTCCAACATCTATGTTTTAGGAGTTCTAGAAATTTTCTGGGGGGAGTAAGAGAAGATTTACAGTGACATCTTATTGAAATTTCAGGAAATCCTAAAAACTCCCAAAGGAAAAAAGTGAATTCCTATAAAGACACATAGATCACATAAAGGTAAAATTAGACTTCACATCAATAACACAGACACTAGATGAAAACAGAGCACTGGCAAAGTTACAAGGAAAATAATCTGAAACTCATTCAATCAAATCAGCTTTCAAATGGGAGTGCAAGAGAAAGACAACTCCATGCATCAAAGAGCTCAACATTTACTGTTCAAAGACCTTCTCTAAAACAGTTAGTAGATACACTCCAATATAATGTTTTAAATCACCCAAGATGATATGAGTTATAAGGAACAATGATAAGTACAGGAAGCAATACATGCTGACTTTGAGGAAAACAAGCAATATGGAACTAAAACACTTGCATGATTTCAACATAGAAGTCAAAGAGGGAAGAGAAAGGAGAGGGAAGTCAAAGCAAGCAGCAGCTGTCTTGTGGAGGAACAGAAGATATAGATTCTGATTATTTCTAAACAAGAATAAAGAAGTGATGGTTTAATGTGTCAAAAATTTACAGGCAACTTCAGAAGAGAAAATGAACATATGACCTTCAAACAACTAGGGAGAAAAAAATCAGTTCAAAAACAAAGAATTCAACTATATGCTTATATAAAGAGACATCTAAAATAAGATAATACAAATAGATTGAAGGTAAATAAACAGTAAAACACTCACAATGGAGTCCCATAAGGAGGAGTTGGATGCTTTAAGATGAAAATGACATTCAGTCAAAAATGAGTAAACAAAATCTTAAGCACCTCACTGGAGACTGATAGAGCAGCTGACTTACATTTAGGAAACATGATATAGTAAAAGTCAAACCTTGCGTTTCAAGACCAACACTGCATTTATCAAGGGCTCACAATATAAGGGGTGCCCCTCCAAACAGTGGTCTACCATCCCCTAACTCACTTGCAGAGTCACTGGCACCACACTTTGTCACATTTACACAGCTGAATTCAGGTAAGCAAAACAAACGCCTGGACAGTGTTACTCCACTCTATCAAGCAAGTATTAACAGAAACCATATACAATACTAGCAGTCTACAAAGCATTCAAAACAAAAAGCATTGTAAGGGGACAAAAAGAAATTATGTCATGTGCATATAAAAGTATAATTGATATGACCCTGACATATGCTTCAAAAAATATTAAAAACAAGAAATTATCAAATCTACAAATCAGCAGATCTAAAATGCCAAATAACAAAACCACACTCACTTTCCACAATATCTCAAAATAAGAAACTAAGGGGACTTCCCTGGTGGTCCAGTAGTTAAGAATCCACCTTGCAATGCAGGGATGACGGTTCAATCCCTGGTTGAGGAACAAAGATTCCACATGCCACAGGGCAATTAAGCCCACATGCCACAATGAAGACCCGACACAGCCAAATAAATATTTTCTTAAAAAGAAATGAATCCAACAGACATAAAGGAATAAGTCT